TCTGCTTTTGCAGGATGCAGGTACTAGGTGGGGCTTTTAGAAACTTTTAAAATAAGATCCTCTTAAGCCCAACAACTGAAAATATGAAATGTCCCAAAGCCCTACCTAGGGATGCAGGTAAGGAGCTTGCAATCTTGGGGCCGCCTCGGGGTTCTAGGTCCTCGCCCCTTCACAGCAAATCCGAATTCCAAGACCCAAAACTTATAGTAAAGGTTCCTGGCTTAGGGTTTAGGGTAGTAGCCCTTGTTCGTTTTTTAAGAATGGGGCCCTAAAGTAACTCTGAAAAGAGCCCAGCCTCCGAAGCACCAACTAAACCCTAAACCTAATGAAAAGCCGAATCCCTGGGTCCTTCGATCCGAGTCGGGAGGATGTTGCTGTGGACTCCTCAAGCTGAGAGTCCCATCTGCTAGGACCATATTCTCTTCAGAACTACATAGTTTAAACCAGGGCTCTATGCTAAAACCGAAAACGACTGTCAACTATGGCCCAGAATAGCTTCTGCAGGCCGAATACTCAGAAAGTGTGGCCTCCAAGCCTTTGCAGATTCTGGTCGACTCCAATGAGGAGTTCAGGTTTAGGTTTTAGGGGTTTAGGGTTTAGGGGCTTAGGGTTTAGGGCTTAGGGCCGGCTCAGGAGTTCGATATTCCAGTTGTGAGCATTGTCGGCTTTTCTAAACTGGTTTTTATACAAAGCGGGACACTGTGAGAGAGTGAGGTCTGCTGCAGGGATTACGTACTTTTTGGGTTCAGAATCCAGCGCTTGGCATTTAGACTAAACTTGCGGCATTCTATCGGAGTTGCGTGAGTTGTGTGGTGTAGGGCTTGCCCTCAAGCCCTAAACTCGAAATTACAACTTAGGACCTAGAGGCCCTGTAGACCTATACAAATCCCTGAACCCTGAAACTCTAAGCCTCTAACAGAAAAACTAAGCATAACTAAACCCTGAAAACCCTAGACCTTAGATCCTGAAAGCCATCATACCGAAGCTCAAGCCCTGAAGCTCGAATCCCGCCTTCGAAAGTACGCGCGGACGGGGGTTGAAGTCCTCCAGAAGTCATGTAATCCGAATGAGGTTTTTTTTTTAAGTAATAGGGGGTCCTTAATCAAGGTTCCAAAATGTAGTGATGAATGTAGGGGGCCTTCATCGTTCGATCAAGGTTGTTTTTGTTGGGGGGTTCATTATCATGGCTTTGCAGCAGGAGCCTTAGTAATCATAATGCGTAGTAGGTCAAAAAAAATTGTGTTCCAATAAGACCGGACCCCCAAACCCACGAACAAAAACTGTGTTTGAACATCGGAACCCGAAATACGTATCAAATATCAAATAAAGTCTCGAAGAATCTAGATGCCCTCACCCAAATGCTAACGTCGTCAACCTGTAAACCCAAGGAACCCTGCTACCGGAAGCAGAGAAAAAGAGAAGCACTCTCCAACTCAAGTCTCATGATCATGTCTGGCAGCAATACCTCAAGCCGCAGGCCTTCACATCACAGCGACCGCTGTAAACCTGCTGCCTGAGACCCTGTTTCAGTTTAGGGTTTAGGGATAAATTAAATCTATGAATCCAGACTCTGCCGATCAGCCGGGAAGCAGCACTGCCATTCTGAGCACCAGCACCGCCAAACCCTAAACCCCATAGCCTAAGCCCAAAACCCGAAGCTGTTTCACCAAAGAAGGCCACAAACATGAGACGAACCCAGGGTCTCTGCATTATACATATATGAGGGCAAGAAACCACCTTGCAAGTTACTAGTATTACCTCAACGAAGCCGTCCTTCGTGCCAGAGCTCCGCATCCCACTCTGGGTGGGCGGTTCCTGGATACGGCAGACTCGATCTAACCACACGCTTTAAGTTGAAAGTCTTCCCAGATTCTCAGAAAACCTAATCGCATTGAATGAAGGGCTATGCCAATGTCTCCAAACTGGCATTTATTCATTGCTTAGCTTTTAGGGGTTACGACTATACTCCCTGAATCTGGACCACCCAAAAGCCCTTCTTCAAGCAGGCCATCTATAAACCCACAGCCACGTCCGTCCTTCGAGCCGGAGCGTTGCCGACCAACCTCAAGAAGCTCCTCGTGACCAGAGGGGAGGAAGTTTACGATGGAACCACAGACTCTGCAAGTGCAGACTTAGGCTTAAAGTTAGCCTAAGGTCTTGGGGTCTATCAGGGGTATATCATACTCTATTATGATAAGGGGCCACCCAAAATGGTATAGGTATTTATTGAGGCCGCAAGATTCATACCCAAAGGCAGCTCACAGACCACATGTACTGAACGAGTACCGATAAACTTTCAGCCCTTCCTGAGGGCTCTAGTATACCCATAGGCCCCAAAGTAGTTCCTTTTTGGGGTAACCTTATAGGATTCTATATACGAACCCCAAAAAGGAACTTCCCTTGGGGCCTTAGTATAGGGGCCATCATGATTAACATAGGGGTTTGGGGCCCCAAATACGATAATCATAATACGGAACTCCCACAAGACTATAGGTTATTATGAAAGCCCCTATATCAAAATAGTATAGGTAATTATTAAGGCCCCTATATCAAAGCAATATAGGTGCTTATGAAGGCCCCTACATTAAGACTTCAAAACCAAACGCGTCAGTTCGGTTCGGCTCCTCTGGGTTTATGATCACCGATGCCTTCGAGCCACGGCGACTGGACTCCTGCTTCCTGGGTCCAGGGGCTTATATTTTTTGTCGCTCGTGCTCGACAAGTCAGACGAGGTTTGTGACGGCTTATTTGGGCTTCTTATGGGGTGGAGGTTTTTTTTGCCTCCCGCCTGGCTAGGACGAACATACGATGCAGGGTGCGATACTGGACTCACCTCAAGACTGTACATAGGTCGCAGGCACTAGGATCCAATCCCTATAGGATGTCCAGCACTCTGCTACATCTTCTTTGTATGTCTACATGCATTCTGCATTCACTCGGGCACATGTGTTACACACGTCGCCCCCATGTCGACACGCCCATCTACCTGCGCTCCCTCTAGTTGGCTGCTCCCTCAACTCCAACCCACATCTGCAGTCCCACTGTGCACTCAGCTCACTCAGGAGGCTCAGCATCGCCATTCTCGGCTCTCCACACGCTGCGAATGCCAAGAACTCACAAGAACTCACTTATCCCCGCTCTTCTGCCCCGGGCAAGCTCATGTCGGCTGTCCCCATGCAATTCATGCAGTCGCATGCTCAAGTCACTAGCCCATGCAGGTCATGCAGTCAATTCGTCAATTTGAACATAGCAAATGGGGTGGAGGTTTTGGGATGTAGGACTTCGGATTCGAGGCTCACTTAGAGTCGTACAAAGGCCAGAGCCCCAACAAGAATCCAAGAGAAATGGTCGTGAAGCTGCTCTGAACCCTAAACCCTATACCCTAGCCCAAGAACGTCAAGCCCTAAAAGAGGCAACGTGCCAGAGCCGAAACCCAAACCCAGCAGCCCGCACCCCAAAACTCTAACTTTGGACCCCAAACCGATCCAGTCTGTTATAAACTGCTAGGCTGCAAAAGGCACCCTGGATCGACTTAACCGGGTGTTTGCAGCACATCTGGTAGTCGTCAGCATGATGATCTCTTTCTTGCAGTTCTAGGCGCCCTTAGGATATTGGACATACCTTGAACCTTAAGAGTCAACCGCCAGCCCGATTTCTGTTCTTTGGATGCTTGGGGCTTCTGAGCAAAGCCGTCCCTGCTCTTCAAGGAGAACACCTGATGTAGAGCCACGCAAGCCAGAAGACCGGGGAACCCTAAAGGGCCCTAGTAAGATACAGGACCTGCAAGAAAGCACTGCGTCACAACATCCTGGAAATCAAGTTTTAAGAAGCCTTAAGTAAGATCAAACTTCGAAACCAAGTGGCAAGAAGCTTGAGGATCACTCTTTACGGGTTCAAAAACCAAACATCCTTCAAACCAGATGCTAGAGAAGCCCAGCTGGCTCTTACCGAGATGCTCCAGTTCGCGCTGCTTCCGCTCTTCTAAATGCTGTGCTGCTAGCTCTCGAGCTCGCTGCCACCTCAGTTACTTCTACGAGGATTTGAGTTCCTCAGACTTGGCAAAATGTATATGAGCGATCGAGGGAGGGAGAAAGAGAGAGCGAGAGAGAGAGAACCATCGACGTGTGAGCGCTTTGGGATGGAACCTGAACACTTCCTGTGTTCTTGTTAACGGTTTTCATTTAAGACCATAACCAAGAAACCGTGTCAATTATTACTTTAGATCCTGATTATGGTAACTTCAATTAAATTCCGTAACAAGAACCCAGATGCGCTGTCGCGAGTTCATGAATCCCGACAAACATGCAGATTAGGCGGCAACCTGAACTCCTGCAAACTCAAAACACGGTGGGACATGCTGTTGATTGGTGAACCTAGGCTTCTCAAAGCGGAATCCCAAGACATACACATACACACTCCGAAATCGCGAAGCCAAAGAGACCCCAACCGTCGCCAAGTGCAACAAAAGCCGCCTCAACAGTGCCGTAGGCATCACAGCGTCCCAAAGAATCAAACCTGAGATCCTCCGACCCATCAGCCCCAAACCCTCAAGCCCAAAACCTTTAAGCTCCAAAGCTCCAAACCCTAACAAACCCAAAACCTCAGCTCCTCACTTCGCTTTGGTCGCATTGTGCGCCGCCCGGATTTCTGCGAATTGAAATCTCGTCATGAGAGGAAAGGAGTGCAGGAACCGAGGCCCTTTGCGAAGCTGAGTCGGAGCCGGTGTCTGCGGCACATGCAGCTGCAGCTAGCAGCTAGAGCGGAACAGTTTCTGCAACACTCCGAACGGCACCGAGTAGCTACTGTTTGTAGAAATTGACTCCCGATGTGACTGGTACTGAGAATATTGAAGAGGATCTTGTTGGATTGAGGTCGCTACCGATGCACTGCCGGCAACAGTTCGGAGCGTGCAGGAATTATCTTGCCAAAGATCCGCGATGACGATCTGAACCCCACGGAAGAACAGGAGCCTCAAACCAAGATTTCCTCCCTCCTTGCACCTCCAGCTGCTCGTCCTCGAGAAAGCCCCCCATGAAAGCCTGCAAAGACTTTGCACAAGTTTCTGCTTGCTGCACCGTGTCTGTCACATATGTCGAAGGCTCAGGGTGGAGAACAGCATTCTGCTATTCGAGACTGTGCTGGCTTTGTCGGGCCTACCGTGAAAGGTTGGGGCCGGGCCACAGAATACGTGCTAAGCTTTCTGCGAAATGAGCAGCCAGAAGGGCACCCCCCCAGCACTGCAATCAGAAGTCCGACGTTCTATAACTTTGACACCAAAAAACAAACCCGAAAGCCCTAAATCCAAACAACAGCAAACTGTAACAAACCAAAGTCCTTTATCAATCCCTAAACCTCCACTATTGTCACTTTCAACGCCCTCACAAACGCTGAAATCCTTGTAGGCACCTGTGAAGACCTTTGCCTGCCTCTGAGACACCGAGAATCATGCATTCAGAGGCTCCGGCCGTGGCTGCCAAGACCAAGCTGGAGCGCTCGAAGGCTAAGATTCGCCTTGCGCAGGTTTCGACAGTGTGTCTTGCGCAGCATGTTCCAAATAACGGTTATACAAATGGGAGTTTCCGGAAATCGGGGACCCTAATATAATACCTAAATAGTAGGATCCTCATTATAAGGACCCCCGAATGAGGTACCCCTAATTGTCGGAAAGTCCCAAAGGCTTATAGCGCTTCTGTTGAAGACTTTACAAGTACAATGTAAGAGCTTCATCTGAGGCTTCGTAAACATGATGGTCATTGCTCTTTTAAGGATCGCCCCTGTATGCACTAAGGATCCTACTATCTAAGTGTCCGGAAGGGTTCAAGCTGCGGGGCTCGTGGCCAGAGCAGGGCTTGTGGCTTCGCTCCGTTGCGACAGGCTGCGGAGTTGCGACTTCTCATTCTCTTTCCCTCTCTGCCGTGCCACGTTCAGCGGCCTCACTACGCAAGGGCACGAAATGGCAGGCTAGGGCATCAAAGGGCAGCATGGTAAAGCGTCGGTTCACAGGTTCACAGGTGCATTATTATGCATGGTCTCAGGGCGTCTTGGCTTCGGGGTGCAGCAAGAGCTTGTTTTTGCAAGTAGAGCAAGGGTCGCAAAGTCTTAAAGGCCCCAGCTGCGATCTGCACATCCCCCGTTTGTGTAAGACTTGCGAGGATGCCTTGATGCTGAAGCCCAGACCTAGGGTGCAGGAGACTCTTCGAAGACTGTAGCTACTGATAATGCATGCTACTGCCACGGGCTCTGATACTTTTAAACCACCGGCAGCACGACGACGACGGCGACGGCTACTCCTGCTCCTCCGCGCAACTGCTGCCTCTACCTCGACGACAGCCACCACGACAAGATACTACTGGTCTCGGCTAATCTTCACATCAGCAGTTCGCGCACACTGAAATTACAGACTGACTGTCTTGGATTGAGGTTTAGAGGCTTGCGGCAGATTCAGAGACTTCGGGAGCCCAGCCAGAGCGGACAAGTTTGAAGCTTCAAGTATTGGGAAGCCGCGTGCTGAGTTTGGGGCTTGGGGCTGAAGTCCATTCTGAGGTCCAGCGAAGTCTAAGTCTAACTAACTTGCACTGTAAATCGTTGTGTTGCTTCCGAACATCCGTGACCAGCCGCTATAGCTAAACAGCATGCCACAGCTCTAAGCACTCCCAGAAAAGTTCACAAGCAACATCCTTCTTGATCCCAAGCCTTGCGCCATCAACCGCCTCACCCTAAAACCCATGCAAACTTCGAGCCCTAAGCCCCAAACCCTAAACCCTTAAACAGGCGCCAAAGAACCTTAAAGCCTTGCACAGGTGCAATGGGAAAAGCCTGTCTTGCTGCATTGATTCTTAAGGACCATTTACGGGTATAGTACCCTACCCCCTCCCCCTACTCTCCTAAGGAGCCCCTTGTCAGCATGGGCTTGGATTGTGTGCCAGCAAAGACCCCTCAACATCCGAAGGGCCCCTTTTGCCTAAGTCCTATGGCCTCTCTGGCATCAGCTGGCGCATTTGCCTCGCCCCGGCGCCTCCACCGAGACCCACGAGGCCTATGCCTTGGCACAGCCGAAGCTCAACGGCTCAAGTGCATAAATACATACATATATATATATACATACACAAGACATAGTATACATGTCTTGTAGATATTTGTATGCATACACGATTGTATGTATACTGTATACATATGTACATAATATATACACATATGTTTTCATTCGACTGCTTCGAGGAACCTGAGGAACGCATAAACGGAGATACACCTCCCACAGAGGGTTTTTAGGGTTTGGGGTTTCTCTCTCGGCAGTATGTATCATGAAATCTGTAACTCACTGCTATACCCCATGAAATAAGCCAATAAGTATTTTACCGCTGTCTCTCTCTCACTCTCTCGACTATACCGGCGCACTTGTCCAAACAGCTGGAAACTGCAAACTGTGCTGGTCGACATCTGCTCGAAACCCAGCAACCCGATCACATCAGGACATACCCTAAGCCGTGAGCGAACCTCTTATACGGTTGCGAATTTTCTACATGCGCAATTTCCATGATTTAACAGATGCTGTATGTTGCCTTTGTGGCCGTGGGGCCCCGGGAAGCCAAGTCTAGTTACAATGGTGAGCCTGTGGCTCTTGAACTTGAACATGCGGAACATGATTAGCAGAACTTGTATGCTACCTCCATGGACTCGGTGGACCGGCCCCCCTCTACTTATTTAAGATACCTCACTGATACCTCTCCGTACAATGATGCTCTCCAAGAGTGCCGTCTCTCAGAAGCAGTCGGCTTACAAGAGGGTTTTCTGGGGATTAGGACTAGAGTTTAGGGTTTCGAGACCCTAAAGCGTAAACCCGAATCGGCTGACAACTTCTCGTTCGATGCCTTTTTGCTTGGTGCACACCCTAAAGAGCTCCGAGCAATCTATCCTACCCTACGGTGAAACACATAGTCTTCTAGTGTTGCTATTATCTACATCTTGTTTGCTGATGTTAGTTTGCTGGCAGTGTGGTTATGCACATGGTTAGACGATCGTCATATCCACGGTATTTGTTGCTGACGATCGTGTTTATGAGCTGTGTTGGTACATCATCTGCTGCGATTGATGCTTGTAAGCTTTCCGATTGTCGTTTTGAATCACGATCCTGCTGAAATGAGACGAATTTGTGTTTTACCTCTCTGCCGTCACCACGGCCGTGCGGCGCAACTTGTGCTTCGCACAAGAGCCCGAACTGGCCGTTGACGTAGCTTGTGAGCTGTACGGCAGAAGGTTTAGAATGCGAGGTGTTCAAATGGTGCAGCATGCAGATTATGGGCGTTTCTGACATGCTGGAAACAGTGTCATAAACGCTCTTGACTCAAGCATCCAATTGAATTCAATCCTGGCTTCACGCTCTCATCACAATACCCCGCAGGCCTAGAACGCCCAAGAGCTACTGCCAAACTTTGTGGCTGAGGCGGATCTCAAAGGCTTGTTTTGCCGGACTCTGCCAATGGCCGGGGAGATCGAGGTGAAGTCCTGTCGCCAGGAAGACTGGCCGGCTATCAGATGCGACCATACACTCGCAAGTCGGAACTGAAAATGGTTCGACAGCAAGGCCAGATAAAAGCAAGCCGCTGCGCGAGAGGCACCCGAAACACACACACAAAACCGTCAAGCCCAAAGCCCTTACAACGTCGCAGCCAAGCCAGGGCCTAACAGCAAAAGCAATACTGCGTTGAACCGAACCGAAACCAACCAACCTACACCACCCCTGCCATTACCCAACAAACCCTTACCTGCCATCCCCTACAACTCCCGCCACCTGAGCACGCCTCCCGGACCCCACTCACCCACAACCACAGCCCCCAGTGCCCTACACCTCTACCACCCTTCTCTCTCCTCTTCGGCGACATCGGGTTGCTTCTGGGCGTCGTCGGGCGCCTCCAGGGCAAAAGCTACTTGGTGGCTCCTTCCTGCCTTTCCCTGAAGATTCTAGTCGCGCGGAACAACGCTGCATCAGGGATTTCAGGAATAAATGAATCATACATAGAAACAGAATGCAAGATACAGATATCGATTATAGATATAGGTGCTATAGACGTGTGCAGACATATAGATATAGGTATAGATATGGATGATATCGACGTGTGCACGCATGTATGCACGGACACACACACACACACACACCACACACACACACACACACACACACATAATCGGCACTATATCTGTATGTCTATCTATCTGCTTATCTATCACAGCTTTTCTTCTTGTCGGTGTATGGTTCGGCCCCTTGGGGCAGAAGAGTCTTCGACGGCTTCAGACTTGGGGCTTGTGGCAGAGGGGATGAAGCGCTTCAGCTCGAGTTCAAGTTGAGAGTGAATGGGCAACTAAGTTTAGGGTTTAGGGCTTTGGGGGTTTAGGGTTCTTTAAGCTAAGTTTAGGGTTTCGGGTACTTTAAGACCCCATTACATGCACCACAGAAAGGCCCAAACCAGGCCGGAGAGTATGTCTGCATGGCCTTGAGACGGCATAGTGCGATGCAGCCTGCCGGGCAAGGCTTCAGGCTCGAGCGCACAAAAAAGAGCTTGTAGCTCGCGGTCGTAAGCAGTATAGTAGCAGATACAAGTATGACATCTCGGGGCTGTCCTCCCAGCACCTCCAGCATCAAACAGCACCGCAGCTCCTCAGTGCCACAAGAACCACTCATCAACATACTACCATCGTCACCACCGTCATCGGCGGCGTCTTGCTCGTCACCATGTTAGGGTGATGATGTTCACCTTCGTCCGATGACCTTGAACTGCAACTTTACATGCTGGCTCTTCGAACCGACTTCCAGAGTGAAGAAGGTGCTTCCGCACCTTTGGGGTTCACATTGTGGGGCATCTGTGAAAAAAGCTTGGTGAAGGGCTGAGAGTCCGTTTCAGGCTTCCTTTTGTTGTGGTCCGGTAGCTTTGGGTACTTATTTTCTGCCTCCCGAGACTATATCTAGGATAAGCTCAGGTTATGAAGCGCCTGTTTCCTCCAGGCAAGCACCCAAACCTATCTGCAAAAAGTAGCACCACATCGTTGTGCAAGGGCCCGCTTCGAAAAGGGACGCCGAAAGAAGCCCAGACCTACGAACCGACGAACACCATGCCAGAACGGTAAGAACTAGCAAGTGTCGGGCCGTCCCCTGAGAAAAGCATAAGACTGTTGATGGACAAAATCCTGCATGACCCTAAATTATGGGGATTATGGTATATTGCTTACAATGGGTAGTGCAGGATTTTGTCCATCAACAGTATGACCAAACACCTCGACCTGCGAAGCCATCACAAAGGCAAATGCTCGTCACCCTAAACCCTAAACCCTGAACCCTAAACCCTAACTCCTGAACCCGGGATCACCCGGAGGAGCCTTGGAGGGCTTGTCCCTTTCCATCCGACCACCTTGGTACGATAGGGGCCTTAATACTTAGAGTTGGGTTTTCATTACACGATAGTTATAATAAGGACCCCTACTAATTTGGGGTAATTACTTAGGCCCTTAATATGGTATTTTTGGGGGTTTGGGGGTATTACAGGTTGCCAAGCATCCCTCCCACTGCAGGAACCTGATTAAGAAACCCTGGCCCTATGACCCCAATATTGTAGTAGGATCCATATTAAGAACCCTCAGGCTCGTTCGACTCGCTTCTCTGAAAGACAGATGTCCGTGAATAAAAATTTCAAGAACCCAATAAGGACCCAAGGTTTCTAATCAGGTTCCTATATTAGACTATTATAGTACCCTGATAGATCCCTTATAGTAACCCTTGTAGACCCCTTTAAAGGAAGCCTACAGTTCCTACACTAACTACACTGAACATCCAGGGGGCGAATCTCAGCCAGAAGCTCCCTGGTCAGACGAGTCTGCGCCTCGCAGGCCACGAATGTACGGTAAGTTACCATAGTTCAGGCTTCCATAATTTGAGGTTAGCTACCATAATTTAGGGTTCCAGTAACGGTTCTGTAAGGGTGTATGGTTTCAAGAATTTTTGACACGGTTCAGGGCTGTTGGGTTTAGGGCATTAGGATTTCGGGTTGAATTTCTATTCTGCCCCAAAAGTAAACTCATGACTGACTCTGGATATGTCGTACCAAGTCCTGCCTCGGAATGGCAAACCAAACGGGTTCAAGCAGTCGATGGTTTTGGTACAGTGCGGCAGGAGCTGTTTGGATTCATCGCCGTCGTTGGACAACCCTTGTTGAAAGAGAAGCTTAGATGCCCTAGCCACAGTTAGAAGCCCCCAAACCGAAGCCTTACACACCCTGAAGCCCGAGAAATTCATGAGCCTCAATCAAAACACCCCTACCCACAAAGCCCGAGGACCGACATGAAGCTTCAGACACGATAAGACCGACTAAGTGAGGCACTGAAGAGAATTGCATGTATGAAAACAGATATATCCCTCTGCTGAACCCTTGAACATTCCTGATTGCCTCGTTGAAACCCCTGAGCCCTTAGCCGGAAGATTTAAATTATCCCCAGGTTGTCTTTCGTCGAGAGGACTCCGTCCCTAAACCCCAAAAGTTTGACCCTGCTCCAAAACCATAGCCATAACCTGCACCGCCTAAACACCGATAGCCTCCAAACATCTCCCATTGCCCTCCTCCCTGAACTACTCCATTAATTACACTCCTCTCCGGGCCCCTGCCTCCATTTCGTTCTCCACCGGCCGTTCTGCCCGCAGATCCGACTGCTCGCAGCGGCGGACGATCCTAGGAACCACTACTGTATTTGTGAAAAGGTATGTTTTACTGTGTGTTATCTACATGTTTCGTGCCATTCATATCTTTACACACGCATAGTTATACTCAACCCATTAGATCCGACTTCGTACTCGGTTGGCAGATCTACTTTCTGGGCTGCCTCTCGGAGCTTGGCCGACCGGGGCCCAAGACTGGCAGGAGCTTCACATCCAGTTGAGCTCTCCCAACAAGGAGCTTAGGAAAGGATCGTCAAGAAGGGGAGATGGATCCCCTTGAAGATTTCATCAAAAACTCGG